TACAAAATTCAAATTTCAAATGTTGGAAGGGGCGCAAGTTACTCGATTACTTTCCCCTCCAAGGCTCCAACGGTCCACGTCTTCGGTTAATCACCCGCGATAACAGCGGGTATCACCAAAATCTCCTGCCTTCAGCCAAACTCCTCGCCCCAATCGCCGCGCTAAAAGCCCACTCGGCCGCCAACTCGACGACGAGCCATTTCGACGCGCTCACTCGGCCGCCAACTTCACCGACGGTGAAAGCCACTGCCGCCAGGATATTTTGCTGCATTCCGCCGCTCCTGGATGGCTGGATCGATGGGGTTCCGGATCCATGTCGGGCGACCACGCCTCCGGATACTGTGGCCTCGTTCGGGCTCCTCGGTTCCTCGGGGGTCCCCGTCCGGTCGAGCTCTTCCTGCCCAGAATCCTGTCTGCGGAAGGACGGGGTCGGCGCGCGACGCTGTGGAGATCAGCTCCGACGAGGAGGACTCTCGCCCCACTCCCGTGGCAAGGAAGTTGCCTTGCGATGATGCTGAGTCGAAGAAGGGCGAGTCGGACGGCGCCGGTGTTGCCACGGATGACGACGACTGCGTGGTTCTAGACGGCGACCCTGATGGGGCGGTTGCCGCTGTGGAACAGAAGGGGGCTGCGGGGAACGATGCCAGCTCCGATGAACTGCAGATAGTTGCAGAGAAAGGGCAGGTATTTTGTTTCTAACGTTATGATCCGTAGCACCGCATTTATGATGTGTATTTGATTTCAGAATCGACTTGCGAAGGTGATTCATCAAATAGAAAAGAGCATACAGAAATGTATTTGTATGAAATCGATACGCAATTTCCTTAAATGAAATCTATCGTATGTTCAGTCACTGCTGCAGAACACGACTTCTGATTTCAGATAATGTGCAAGCTGTTAAAGATGCATTATTCAACTTGTAGCATAGTGTCTCTGCCGTTGCATCCTTAGACCACCGGACTTTAGCTGTTTACTTATCCTTTTATTTGTATTCTGTATTGATAGTCAGCCATACCCAACTTGATTGCGGGTTCATGGTCACTGCTGGTGCTATTTGGGCTTGTTTCTTCTAGTACAAAATGATGCCCATTAAGATGCGTGTTCAAGAAAAGAGAAAAATTGTTAGATAGAAGTTGTTTGCTTAAGTGCATATATGAATAGTACATTCTTCCATGTCTACCTGCTCATATGGTCTATGACAGGCTGAATATCTGCGTTTTTTAATTGATGTCTGACAAAGACAATTTGGGTTTTTGGACTTCCTGGGAAGACCCTGCACTACTACTGTGAAGCTGCATTAGCATTAATTCGTTATTGGATATGTTTCTCCAGATAGCATGCAGAGATTTCCCTCACTCGCGCCATTTATGTTCTAACTTGCCCTTCGGCACTACTTCTCATGAGAAACATTGTACCATGGTGAGTTACAAGCTTTCTCACTCCCTGATCCTGTTGGCAATGTGGTAAAATGCGAATTCATTGTTGTTCTCCAAATGCAGTGCTACTGTTTTGTATGTGATGTCCATGCTCCGTGCGATTATTGGGGTAAAGGTCTCTCCATTGATGATCATTGTCATGCTACTGATAAGGAAACTAAGTGGAAAACACTGAGGCTTGCGTTCAAGTGCAAAGGGCTTCCAGCATCTCATCCAGAAAAGGAAAATACCGTATACCCAGCAATGGCGTCAGTCGGCCGCTTTTCTCTTGGCAATCGGAGTCCTCTTCAAAATGTTGTGAACCAAAACAGGCAAATACATGCTTCAGTTAGAACCGCGCCGAATGTAGCCCCAACTGTCAGTGCACGAAGAGCATTCCCTGTGACAAGAGCTGAAGGTAGCACAAGCAATGCCCACACTTCTCAAGTTACTTATCCTGTAGCGACAACTGTCAGTGCACCAAGAGCAATCCCTGCGACGAGAGCTGAAGGTAGCACAAGCAATGCTCACACTTCTCAAGCTTCTCACGCTGTAGCTCCAACCGTTGGTGCACCAAGAGCGTACCATGCACCAAGAGCTGAAGGTAGTACAAGCAATGCTCACAATTCTCAAGTTACTTATCCTGTAGCTCCAACTGTTAGTGTACCAAGGCCACACCTTGCGGCAAGATCTGGAAGAGGTTCAAACAACGCTCACACTTCTCAAGTTACTTATCCTGTAGCTGTAGCTGTAGCTCCAACTGTCAGTGCACCAAGACCACAGCCTGTGGCAAGAACTGGAAGAGGTTTAAACAACGCTCAAAATGCACAAATTACTCACCCTGTACAGCCAACTGTCAGTGCACCAAGAGCTTACCCTGCGGCAATAGCTGAAAGAGGCAATGCTCAAACCGCTCAACTTACTTACCCGGCCACTGCCAGCCACCACCTGCCGGAGCCAGAGCCGGACCAGTATGAAGAGTACTGGGAGGACACACCAGAGGAATATGCGTCAGAGGGGTCCACGGTGTATGTCGGAAACCTACCCTACCACATTGACGAAGAGTCCCTCGCACTGAACTTCGAGCATGCCGGAGTCGTCGTGTTCTCTGAGGTTAGCCTTTTTAGCTCTTCATCATCCTTGTTCGCTCTATGATATATGAAAAATATGTCCCAAATCCATCACCGGCATGAATGGACTGTTTGTTTGGCAATCTGTTTCATCAGTACTATTTTTTTAGAGAATTTCATCAGTATTGCTGATGCAGCTAGCAGGATTTTTTTTTTCTCTCCTTGTTCTAAAATGCAGATGTGTGCAGGTCATTTACGATGACAAAACAGGCCAGAGCCGTGGATTTGGGTATGTCACCATGAGTACTGTTCAGGAGGCTGAGAAGGCTGTTAGAATGTACCATGGATACGTGAGTATTTTCTGTAGCTTCATGGGGGCTGGTTTAATATTTTAATACGAGCCAACTTAATCGGTCCCTTCGTTCTGTTAACCCTGTTTACTAGCTTACTGATTCATGGTTGGTATGAAGTATGTACACCAGAGTGGTCTTTAATCTATTTCATTTCTGGTAGCTTTTAGAAATGTCTGATGTGTAGTTCAGTTCATATGCTAAAGGCAGGCTGTAGAAACCTTATGCTTTGGGCTTCGCTGATTAACTTTTCATGCGGACATTACAGGCGATATATGGCAGTGTCAGACCTCTGACGGTATATATCACAGCTCCCCGTCAATCCGGGTCTCCTTTCGAAATCTTCGTGTGCAATCTGCCGTGGCAAGTGGACGACTCGTGGTTGGAGAAGCTGTTCAGCGCGCACGGCGAAGTGGTTGATGCTAGAGTAGTCTACTATGAGCGCAGAGGAGGGACCAGGCGTTCAAGGGGTTTTGGTTTTGTCACAATGGCGACGGAGGAGCAATCGTACTACGCGATCAATTCTCTAAACAAGCAGGTCTGTGTAACAACTGGTTGGTTTCAGTGTCAGCTCAGAAATCTGGTTTTCACTTTGAATTTCTGCAGGTTCTGGAGGGACGTACCCTGCGAGTGAAGGTTTCGAGGGAGAGTCCACAACAAGGCTATTGAAGATGTGGCACGGCTGATACAGGAACTACAGTGACATGCCTTGTGCAATGGTACAGGAAAGTGAACTGCATGAATTTTTCGTATTGTTCATCTAGGAAGTTTTATAAGAACTCCGCAGGTGAGGTGTTTGCACAGAGAAGTGCCCAAGAGAAAACTTCCATGAGATTGAGACCTTATGTTTGTTCTCCAAAACTTCCATGAGATTGAGACCGCAGATGTAAAAGAAATTCAGAGGTTTCAAATCGTTCAGCTTTTCCTCCATTTTCCCTCGTACTCAAACTGTTTTCATATCTGGCTACTTCACAGACCTCAATTTGTGCAACAACTCAGTTGTTTTGTGCTGATGAGGGCGCCCAAAAACTGAAAGAAACGCCAAAATTATATCTTTGTCACGTGCTGAAACTTAGGTGCCCCCCCTAGCTGGTTTTTATGATCTATAGCAAAGGGACTAAGTTTTGCTCTAACCGAACCCAAAGATGCTATTTCTGGAAGATGGTTTTCCACCCCTCAATTTTCAAGGAACAACTATTGGCAATATTAAGGACAGTCTCATGGCTTAAAGCATCTACAGCCGCACACACCAAATCCGGTGCCTCAAACGCCCACGGACGTGCCCCGACGAATCCGTGTGCAGTAGTTACTGGGGACCCCTCATTTGTCTGCTCCCACAGCCATGTCCCTCGTATCTGAACCCCGAAATCCATGCAACCCATGCAACGCTACGTAGATGAACATGATGAACACACTTAGAGCATCTCCAACAGCCGCACAAAAATTTCGCGCCCAAATGAAGTTATAGCGAGCCACTGTAGCACTTTTAATGTGCCGGGATCAACATTGCTTTAGCAGACGCCCTAAAACGCGCGCCCCAAAAAGCACACAGTGCAAATTGTGAAGCGCGCGCAATCCGAAGCCCAAAATATGCTGCGCGCGATAGTGTTTTTCAGCGCGTGCCCAAAACTTTTTAGCGCGCGCAATATTTTACAGCATCTGTTGGAGCTGTTCGGCGCCAAAAGAATTTTTAGCGCGCGGAGCTCTTTTTGGGCGCCTATTGGAGATGCTCTTAATAGCAACAATGAGACTAAATTCCTCCGATACAAAAGCATCATAGTTCATCGCCGGACAGAAGGATCAAAGTTCGATGCTACAAAGAACATGGATAAAACTAAAAAGGGCGGAGGGAATCACCATTTCCTTGCCGGGCCTTTCCCCTTGGTCACCGGTGCGATTGTGCCCGTTCGTGTAGGCGTCAACATTGGAGCTGGAGCTGGAGCCGTTCGTGTAGGCGTCAACATTGGAGCTGGAGGCGTCAACATTTGGCCCATCAACCTCCGGAGCAAGCGATCCTACTCCTTCGCATGTCGGACCGCCTTTGCCTTGGCCACCACCTCCTTAGATGCCTCGTGCTCTGACAACTTAATGGCGAGCCGAAGCGCCTTGGCATTCTCGCCATGCATCCGTCTCTGCTGTCGTAAGGGAGCGTCGGAGAACCGACACGAGGAGCACATCCTCGGGATCGGCCGGCGCGGCCAATGCTCACTCACTGTCGCCCTCTCCCTCAATCCGCTGCCGCTCGCGGTGGGCTGCCCGTGCCTCAGATTTGAGCGCCCTCGTCCTTTTCCGTGCCAGCGCCGGGGCGAGGACACAGTGGTGGCTGGTTACCCCATCCGAAGCAGATTGAGCTTGCAGTGGGGGTGGCGTACCTAGATAGGCCTGGAGCGGTCGAAGCTGCATGGCGGGTAGGGGGGCCCGACGATGTCGTTGGCGCTGCATCAATGGGCTACGGCCATTGCGGAACCGGTGCTGCTGTTGCCGCCCTGGTCCAACTCTGGCCACCTCAAAGCGATGCAAAGGTTGATCTCCTCCACATCGCCTGGCTTTGCATCTCACAGCAGGCTCGCCCACTCGTCAGAGCTGCCGGATCTGCCATTAGAGCCAGCGCTGCTACCGGCGCTTGCCATCGATCAAAAAGCAGAGGGGACTAGGACTAGGAGTTGAGGAGATATATAAAGAGAGAGTAGAACGGACTGATTGACTTTGATCTAGGGTTTGTCCGAAGGGGATATTTGTGGGGCCTAGGGTGAGCCTGGCTGGCCTCCCCATGTCCGCCGTAAATTTGTGCTAGATATGAGGGGTGCAGGACAGCCCGACGTTTGGGGCCGGTTTGAGGAGGCCGAGCGGGTCTACTCTTTTTGGCCGGTCAGTGACTGATCCGTCTGCCCGGGCGGTTGGGAATGGTTTGAGGCACCCGACTGTAGATGCTCTTAGTGTGGTCATAGATTATTTTCCAGGGCTCACCCTCCTGATCCGAGGAAATGGGCTGTATCGGTATGGGTGATAACTCCCATGTCGTTCATACCCTGGGGTGCCATGTCCGCCATCGTCAGCTGATCTGACAGGGCCTCACCGTCCTCGCCCATGTTTCTCCCCTGTTTGGAGCCCACTATCTTCGTCATATCCTCTTGTCCCATCGAGCTGGTGGCGGGCCTAGACAGACATGGATGTGCCAAACAACCCCGTCTTTTCATCATTGTAGTGCCTCTCCTGACAATGATTGCACCCATGCAGTGCCGCCACAGACCAACCCTCTGCTACTTGTAAATTGTGTTGGGATTTTCCCCGAAGAGGAGGGTTGAAGCAGTACAATAGAGATAAGTATTTCCCTCGGTGAGAACTAAGGTTATCGAACCAATAGGAGAACCACGCAAACTCTCGTCTTTAGCACCTACACACACAAAAGCAAATACTTGCACCCAACGTGGGCAAGAGGGTTGTCAATCCCCTTGAACTCGTTATTTGCAAGGATGAATTCTAATAGTGATAGATAGATAAAAAGAAAAGTAAAATAAAAAAATTGCATCAAGGTATTTTTGGTTTTATAATAATATGATAAAAGTAGACACAAGGGCCATAGTTTTCACTAGAGGTTTCTCTCTCGAAACAATAACATACAATGGGTAAACAAACTACTGTTGGGCAATTGATAGAAACGTGCATAGTTATGACGTATTCATGGCAATGACTACGTATATAGGCATCACGTCCGTGACAAGTAGATCGACTCCTGCCGACATCTACTACTATTACTCCACCAATCGACCACGATCCAACATGCATATATAGTATTAAGTTCATGACAAACAAAGTAACACCTTAAGCAAGATGGCATGATGTAGACAAAGTATACTCACGCAATATGATTAAGCCCCGCCGTTTTACCCTTAAAGACAATAATACTATACGTGCCTCGCTACCCCTCCTGTCACTAGGCGAGGGCACCACAAAATTGAACCCATTATAAGGTACCTCTCCCACTGAAGATAAATCAAGAACCCATTATAAAGTACCTCTCCCACTGAAGATAAATCAATCTAGTTGGCCAAACCAAATGGATAGATTGGAAAGAAATACAAAGCTATAACAATCATGCATAATAAAGTTTAGAAAAGACTCCACTACTTTCAGTGAATAATCTGATCATAAACTCACAATTCATCAGATCCCAACAAACACGCCACAAAATAAGATTACATCCGATAGAACTCCAAGAAGATCGAGGAGAAGACTGTATTGAAGATCAAAGAGTGTGAAGAAGCCATCTAGCTATTAGCTATGGACCCGTAGGTCTATGGTAAACTACTCACGCATCATCGAAAGGCAGCCAGGATGATGTAGAAGCCTTCCATGATCGATTCCCCCTCCGACAGAGTATCGAAAAAGGCCTACAAAAGAACAAAAGCTTGCGGTGGAGCAAAAAGTGTTTCGGGTGGCTCTCTGTTGGTTTGGGAATATTTAGGAATTTATAGTGGTGGAATTAGGCCAAACAAAGTTGCATGGGGCCCACGAGCTCAGGCGGCGCACCCTACCCTCCAGGACACGCCCTGTGAGCTTGTGGCTCTCTTGGAGCTCTTTTGGCCTCCTCCCAAACCTTCTAGGGTCCCTTTTGGTCCATAAAAAATCACTGTAAAGTTTCATCGTGTTTGGACTTCGTTTGGTATTGATTGTTTGAAAAGCCAAAAACAAGCAAAAAAAAATAGGAACTTACAATGGGCACTGGGTTAATAGTTAATCCCAAAACATGATACAAAATAGCATAAAAATGCATATAAAGCATCCAAGATTGATAATATAATAGCATGAAACAATAAAAAATTATAGATTCGTTGGAGACGTATCAGCATCCCCAATCTTAATTCCTGCTCGTCCTCGAGTAGTAAATGGTAAAAACAGAATTTTTTATGTGAAATGCTACATAACATGTGTATCATGTAATCTCTTTACGGTATAATTATTGAGAAACGATGAAGTAACAATATTAACATAATAATATCCATGAATATAAGAAACATAATCACTAATTTTTTCAAAATACACGATCCTTAACGAATGTTATCCCCACTCATTTTTATCATGCTAGCATGGCATGACTCTGCCTTCACTGCATAAATATAAATCATGAGCACCCCGGTGTCAAACTAGACAATTGGATTGTACTTCTAACGCGCTTCAACATTTTCAACCCCACGCAATACATGAGTGTGTGCCATGGATATAGCACTATAGGTGGAATGGAATGCGGTGATAGAGATTAATAAGGGAAGACAAAAAGGAAGAAAGTCTCGCATCAATGCGACTAATGAACGGGCTATGGAGATGCCCATCAATCAATGTCAATGCGAGGAGTAGGGATTGCCATGCAACAGATGCACTAAGAGCTATATGTGTATGAAAGCTCAACGAAAACTAAGTGGGTGTGCATCCAACTTGCTTGGTCATGAAGACCTCGGGCATTTGAGGAAGCCCATCATCAGAATATACAAGCCAAGTACTATAATGAAAAATTCCCACTAGTATATGGAAGTGACAACTCAGGAGACTCTCTATATGAAGAACATGGTGCTACTTTAAAGCACAAGTGTGGAAGAGGATAGTAACATTGCCCATTCTCTCTTTTCTCTCATTTTTTTATTTTTTGTCCGAAGTCTCATCCTGACTTGTGG